GAAGGAAGGAAGGAAGGAAGGAAGGAAGGAAGGAAGGAAGGAAGGAAGGAAGGAAGGAAGGAAGGGGAGGAGACATGGAAGGTGGCAAGTACACCAGACAGTTGAAGAATTAAAAAGGACATTGGAAGAATATCTGAAGGACAGTGAAGAAGCACTGAAGCTAGTACATCATAAGGCTTACTGAATCCCAAAGAGACCAAACTGGCCTTCAAGAAAGACCAAATGAAGAATAGAAAAGAGACATGGCAAGGCAAAGTATTACACGGCCAGTACACACACAAGCACACACACACTAGCAGGCAAAGCAGATAACAACAATGGCCAAGAGCAGGAAAGTTCATGCTCATACATCTATAGTATTTTTTACTGAATGAGTCTAACCATCAACAGGGAAGTATTCTGAGTAAATACTTCAAAAAGTTCTTCAGCGTGAATGTAAAGCTCTGGATGATGACAACCTATGAAAAAAAGTTTAACCCAGCTATTCTTAAGAAACAGAATAAATTCCAAACCAAGAGCAGGAGTGATTGTTGTTGCGTTTGCATCTGTGTTTGAGTTTGTGGGAAGGGGACAGATGCTACAAACTCTTTTGTCTTAAGAATCAGGGGCGACTGCTACTAATTTGCAATAGAAATTCTTATCTAATGCTGCATTTGCAATCAGTGAATCATTTTACCACACACTGCTGCATTTTTTTCTTTCCCTCTTAAGTGACAAATGTGTGGAAGATTAGTGATTAATTATTTATTAAGTTACTTCTTTAAAAGACTGTTATTTCATTAAAAGAACAATCTTCACATGTATTTGAAAGTCATATAACAAATTGCAACTGCGATTCATATACAAAGATTGGATATTTAGTCCAGAAATTAAGATGGCTTGCAATCTAGTAATATATATCTTTAGAAATTTTTGTTTCCCTTAAATCAGGAAACATTGTGATATAATGGAGAGGAAGTCCTGCAGTGTCAACCAGCAAGTTCTCAAGATTAAAGATATTAATTTTCAGTGAAAAATTGAAGAGACTGAACAGGGTTACACAGGTCTTACACCCCCCCTGGCAGAAATTATCCATTAGGATCATCCAAGCAGTCTAGACAGAGCCCTAAACTCCTTCCACAGTGATTCTCCAAAACTCTATTCTTATAGACATGTCCATGTCTGGATGTCAGTAAAAAATCACTGTGGTGAGATGGACACCATATAAATAATTTATAAAGAAATAAATAATAGCCTCCAAACATCAGATCAGGACCTTTGCCTCTTTGTCATTTGCATTGAAATATGCGATCCATGTTAATGTAAAATTCTAAAGAAGGTGCAATAGGTGTGTTTTCATATGGCACTAATGTGCCATATAGATTATCAGATACAAAAGAAGGAAAAATAACAATGCATATTACAAAAAAAGGATAAGGGAACAAAACAAAGATAGGCTGGGAGATGCAATAATTTAAAATCTTTAAGCTGGAGAATCAAGAGTTATTTCTCCTTGGCCCTAGAAACATATATGTTTAAAAATAACTCAGGATATTTCTTATACTCTTTATTCACAGAAAAATACTTGCTCAATGGAAATATAGGAAATTGCTTGTAGAAGAGCAACTGATGAACTTTATCAGAAAATCATCCCAAAATAATGTGGCAGATGGAGAAATGGTTAATTAGTAGAAATAATCAAACAAGTGTTACAGAATTTATGCTTATTGGATTTTCCAATCACCCTGAGCTTCAGGTGCCTCTTTTTGTCATCTTTTTTTTCCTTTACACAATCACTCTGAGTGGCAATGTCCTCATCATTCTTGTCACTACGGTGGACCCTGCACTTCAGAGTCCCATGTATTTCTTCCTCCGAAATCTTTCCTCCTTAGAGATCTGCTTCAATTTAGTAATAGTCCCAAAGATGCTGTCCAATTTTCTAATGGAGAAGAAGACCATTTCCTATATGGGCTGTGCCACACAAATGTATTTCCTTTTTTCCTTTGGTGCAGCTGAGTGCTGTCTTCTTGCGGCGATGGCGTATGACCGCTATGTTGCCATTTGCAATCCTTTACGTTATCCAGAAATTATGGACAGAAAAGTGTGCTTCCAATTAGCTGCTGCATCATGGTTCTCCGGTTTCCCAGTTGCTACTGTCTCTACTATATGGATTTTCAGCCTGCCATTTTGTGGGCCTAACACAGTTAATCATTTCTTTTGTGATAGTCCCCCAGTGCTGGAGTTGGCCTGTGCTGACACCTACATGTTTGAAATTGAAGCTCTCACAGCTACTGTGCTCTTCATTGTTCCCTTTCATCTTGATTTTGCTCACCTATGTCCACATCGTCATTACCATCTTAAGAATGCCCTCAGCACAGGGGAGACAAAAAGCCTTTTCAACATGTTCATCTCATCTTCTGGTAGTTACCTTATTTTATGGCACAGCCATATCTACCTACTTCAACCCTAGGTCCAAGTACTCGCCAGATACAAAGAAGATCCTCTCCCTCTCTTACACAGTCATCACACCCATGTTAAACCCTTTTATCTATAGTCTAAGAAACAAGGAGGTCAAACAGGCAATGAAAAGAACACTATGCTGGTAAATTTTTGCCCAAAACATAATAAAATTTGTTTGGCCACTGACATAAAACAAAAGATTAGGATGTGTAATGGGACTTTCTTATATTTAGTTTAAATTTTACCAATATTCTAATATTTTTAAAAGCAAAGAGTGATATGTACTTTAACCACTCACAAAATCACTCCTGGGACACTGAAGCAAGGAGAAGGAGTTGTCTTCTTGTATTTCTCTCTCTTTTTCTTGTTAAGTTTTCCATAACAACTCATAAGTGACCTGATCTACAAATCTAACTGGGTTCGTTTTTTTCTATCTTTTTCACTTTTGCTCAAATACTAGAAATAGATGAAGTTTATTAATGACAGAATGTGCTATTTTACAGAAATATTATTTTTTTATTCATGAATGCCAAAAATGGTGCACTTACTCATGTTTATCAGGAATTTAACGTTTGCTATTGCTTTATGTACAGTGGAAATCTTGAACCTTTTTTCTCTCCTGATGCAATATCAGGAAACAACTAAGTGCAGATGTGTATATGCTCAGTTTCAAGAAGAATATAAATTTATGGGACAAACTGAACATAACCCAGTTCTGTGTATAATGGCTTTATATGAAAATATAACAGTGTTAGCTATATACTTTTTAAAGTGATTTATGATGCATTTGCAATTGCTATTTTTATTTGCTTATCGTATTTATTTAGCATTTGGCATATGAAACTGTCATGAATTACTAAGCAATGATAAAGATATATACAACTTTTCTTCTTCCCCAACATAGAAAAAATTTAGATGCTGCTGCAGTTCAACAGATCAGGGACAGGGAGAGCAGGGAAAACAACTGCTCAGAAACTGTAGCACATGAAAGAAAGAAAGAAAGAAAGAAAGAAAGAAAGAAAGAAAGAAAGAAAGAAAGAAA